GGGGGGGTCACACAAAAATTCTTTTTTCGTGAAGCCTTGTTGTTATCGCATTTAAATAGAAACTTTGATTTACGGAGCTTTGCAAACATTCTGAAAGTGATTCGGATCGATAGTCATTATTGGGGATGGAAGGGGGGGGGGGATTTGGGTAGGGGAGCAGAAAGTGAAGACGCAGAGGATCCCGAGCGAAAGTAGAATGGCAAACGAGTTCTGAAAGAGCTCTTGTGCTGGAAACCTTGACAGCAGTATTACACTGCTCCACCTTTTATTGGTCATTGACATTTAATTAGGCCTAAGACCTTATTTTACTATTTATTTTCAAGAGCATAATAAAAGTTTAATGTGTGATGAGAGTTTTTGGTTTTAACAAAAAATAGCCATTGGAAATATTACTTTGGAAAAATTTTGGAGGAAAAAATTGAATTATGAACACAACACGCCAAGTTGTCCACCAAAAATGTGAATAAAATACAGTATGCGCAAAAACTATTAGTACTGAAATTCAGGGATCTTGAACGCGTTCATGTGTTGGTCAACGCTGCATTCCTCCAGCGTCACGACTTTCCAGTAGTAAGGTTAAATTAAAGGAATATATCTTGAGCAGTTGTTGGAAATGGGGCTCTCAACTGAGGAATAGAGTGTTCATAACTGAGCCATTTTTTTTTCGCCCATACGAAAGTGATCGTGAAGGGAGATCGTGATTGAAAAAGGTGCCAGAAGTATGGCGCAAAATACTGACTCTTAATCAGATGGCACAAAGTAGTATGGGTATTCTTCTAATTTAACGAAAGTTTGCAGTTCTGGAGAGGTACTCTGTCAATGGAAGGGGAAGTCTGATCGACGATTAAATTATTGTGAAGAATCACACATTCCTGTTTAAACAATTAAAAAAAAAAAAAAACTGGTTCCTAGTACACCATGGCCAAACAAAATGTTCATGGATGCATCATCTTGACTCGATTATAATTTGGCTTCGTCAAGCGTTGGCGTTGTTCAACATGCATCCGTTGTGAATTGCACTGAGTGTTGGCACATCACCGTGAGCGGGCGTATCCATGATGTTCACTTTCAAGGATGTTTGTGTAGACTTTGTAGGGGCGAATGCAGCAATGTCTAGAGAACACGACATGCGTGATTCTCATTTATTGTAACATGGACTAGTCATTTTCAGTCCACTTTGAGGACGGCAAAGTTTCTTAATGTAACTGTGTAACTTGATGCCACCCTAGTAAATTCATCCCAAAATTGTTCAGCCATCTTTCTTTCTAAAAGAAACGGCCAGCCTTTACGTCCAATTAATTTTGAGCGAAAATAATGTTCAAATATGTCTACTATTTCCTCTGCCACTGTCGATAGACCCATTTACAATTGCCAAACATATCTTCCTTTACCCTAATGGGAACACGTGGTGGCCGGCGTTACGCGCCGATAACTAACGAACGTACGCGTTCAAGAGTGCGGGAGCTTTGGTAGTGTCAGTTTTGGCACCTACCATAGTGCTATTACCCTTAAAAATTACGTCTGTTTTATAACTTGGATACTTAAGTTTTTAGCAAACCAAAAAATCATAATTCTCTATGAACTAAAAAAAAAAACCCAAACAAATCTGTAATCTAAAAAAAAAAGAACATCTTAAAAAATAATTTTTTTAAAGGGCATGCATGCTGTTTCAAAGGTTGTCTCTGATGACGTTAGTTTCAGAGAGACACACCATAGGAATTATATTATTTGATGATGATTGAATGTATGAATATGTCTTCTTCTGTGCAATTATTTTAAAAAATATTTGATAATGAAAGCATCAATAACAGTTGCTAATGAAGACAATGAAATAAAGTAACAAGTTAAGCTGATTAAAAAATAAATTTATTTAGAGATTAAAAAATTTTGAAGTATAAGCAGTCACGCATAGAATATCCAAGTAAATTATCCAATTAAGTTTAATTAGTGGATATTATCTATAGCAGCCTTAACCTGGTTAACGTTGTATACACAATAACACAGATTGCATACAATTAAGAAAATATGAATATTTATATAAATGGTCTCAAAGACATTCACGACAATATTCTTGTTGAATGAAATATGAATGACTATTATGACTTGTTAACAATTTTCTTTTTACAGCGCAGACATTACCTCTTGCCCTGAGTGAACATACTTTTGTTAAAGAAAAACCAAGAGTTTAAGAAAAGTAGATTTGATAATCAGCTAAGACAAAATAAAGAAGAAAAATAAATAAAGTACAAGATAATTTTTGCTGCATAGAAGAAGCAAGTATCTACAAGCATTATAATTTACCAATTTAAAAAAAAACATCTAAATCCTCATCTTAAATAAGAAACAGGATGACAAATATATGACAAATAAACAATTTTCTTTTTTTTTATAAATCTTAGGAAAAGTTTTTCAGTAAAATGAAATCTAAGCAGCAGTAGAGCACCATTTTAATTAATAGTAATAGTAATTATAAAAGTAGAACATGTTATCTTGTAACCTCCATTCGAGAGTTTTGCTTGTTAAAAAAGAAATCAATGATGTTAAAAATTTGCCATGTTCCACATCTACTGCTTAAATAATTCAGCTACTCCCACATTTAGATTCATTTGACTACAAATTTATAGCATGTAGTCACTTTAAAAAATGAACCCAATCTAAAATGTGTGTCAACATAAGAAATACAAATTGGTTAGTAATCATCATTTCACACCTTTCTGTCAGGAGGTAAACAAAATAGTTGACGTTTTGTCTGCAGACCGCACTGTAAATAGCACAGGTTTAAAAAAGGTTTGCGGTTTAGGTTAAGATATATTTAAAACTGGTAAAATTGTATAGACAGTTGAGATAGGAAAAAAGTTATTGTGAATTGCATTGAGTGTTGGCACATCACATTTTATATTACAAAGAGTATAGTAAAGTATTAAAATAAAATAATATGGCTGTTCACGGAGCATTTAAATGAAATTAAAGAGGTAAGAGTTTAAAAAGACAGGGAGGGGGGTAAGTCATACAATATAACATTTTAAAAAAATGTGCTCTATCTGACTGAATACTTAAATGAATATTGTGACTTTTTGGCTAATAATTTTTACAATAAAATAACCTTTCAGCTATTTGAGAAAACCCAAATAATATTGATTTAACAATTGTAAACCCTCATCAACAAAGTGAGCTTGAATAATATTTAATTTTAAATGTAAAATACATTGCTATTAAATCAGAGAAAAGAGTGAAGCAACTTAGTTACAATTGAGGAACAAATTCGACTTCAGTTCTATTTATGAAAAAATTTATTTGTGAAATAAAGTGCCAATACTTTTTAAAAATATCTTATTAAGTTGAGTTAGAAGAATGTAATGAGTACTGCCCTTGTACAAAAATAATGGTTAAAATGCCCCAACTCTGACATAAATATACAATAAATTAAAAGTAAGGATATACATGTAAAAAAATTGAAGAAGAGTTCCATTTGTAAATTTTGACATGAATTAATTTATCTTGCATGAAGTAATAAGTAAATAAATTTTCTTTTGTAGTACATAAACTTACTTTTTGACACCAAGGCTTTAAAAAAAAAAAAAGTTAGTAAAATTTAGGTTACATCGCAACATCAATCTTTGGCTCCTGTAGAGCTAATGACTGTGGAATCGAGTGTTACTGTTAGCTGCTTAAAGATCATGGAAGCGACCCATAGATGTTCAGTCACTAAGTCCGATTCTTTACACCTTTGATGCAAGCTAGCTAAATCATATACTGCTCATCACTATAACATAAGTACCCATTTGATACAAATAAAGCAAACATATTTCTTGAAGGATTTATCTATTATTTATATTAATTTTTTCAATGTCTTATCACTGTAGCTACCGGTACAATGCTTTAAATTGTAATATTCTTAAGATTACTTTTGATAGAAAAAATTCCATTCAAAAGAATATTCTTCTTTACATTTCAAGCAAAATATAGTGTAAAGAAAATGATATATTTGTGAACAACTGACTGTTGAGTGATTTCAGCTCATACTCATAGATGATGGTTTCTTGTGATGCTCATGAAATTGATCCATTGCCTTGTGAACTCCGGTGAATTTCATAATCGGGATAACAGCTGACACAGGAGCAATGCTGAGAAGATTTAGTTTAAATCACGGAACAATATTTAGGCTTTTGTTTTTTAAACTGCTTTTTTAACCAAATAACACATAAAATTCTCAAGACCTTAGAGCCACTTGCTACTTTAGACTTGCAAAATGTAAAATGGTTTTATTAATGTAAAGTGGTTTATTACACAAAGCAATCAATGAATAACTTGTAACAGGAAATTGTTAACATCCTAATTCCAGTAGAAATTGGATACCCGGTATTATAAAAAATATATGAATTTCTTAAAATACATATAATATAATAATAATTATTAATTTTTGACTTGCCAAAGATGGACTCAGATAAAAAGTTGTCATTGCAAGACACTTATGAAATTATAATTTAAATGTAGGTTCAATATGGCAAGTCTTCAAAAATTTGAGTTCAAGTTTCATTCATCTGTCAATTTCAGATGCGCTGTTTAAACATCAAATTTCTGGTGACACAGATCCAGAGAACATGCTCCGGACAAAACTGCCATTCATCAAATGTAGATTAATTTGAAGAAATCAGACCACAAACATTTAATAGAACAACTGTTCAGAGAGCAAGAGGTGAATGATAAGATAATTTTTCATATATTTTTAATTATTGCTATGCTATGCCAAAGCTACTAGTGACATAAGGTTTAAAATTTTGCCAGTCCAATGCAACAACAATGTCAATGTATTCAATATGAATAATTAATATTTTTTCAATTAAAAGACCATTGTAAAAAAATATAATGTCATATTTTTTTAGCCATGAGAGTAAAAACAAATTTGAGCTTACCTATAAAACAAAGCTACAAGATACATAAGTTTTGGCACAATCAGTTTTTCTCTGTTGCATAAAATGGCATCAACAATTTTCTCAGAAAGGTAGTCCTCATTGATGGCAGGAAATATCTGAGGAAACCTACAGGTGAAGTAAAATGAAAAAATTTGAACTGTTGGGTTTTAATGGAAACAAAATATGTTGTATTTCCACAGAAAAACATAGGTGTATTTCCACAGACAGGCATGTGTATTCTTTAGAAAAGCAAATGTGTAATTCTTTTTAGACAAGAAAAGGTAATTCAACAGGCAAGCATAGGTGTAATTCTTTAGACAAGCATGAGTGTAATACCTCAGACAAGCTTGGGTGTAAAGCCTCAGAGAAGCACGGGTGCAATTCTTGATTCACAGCTAATGCAATTTATGCACATTTGATCTCACAATGTGAATCCTCAAACTTGGACGTTTAGGTAAAACCAGTCATAACCATTTATAAACACTGATAAAAGCCAGTATAATGATACATAGTTTTTCTTTTCCTATAGTCCCTATAAAATTACATTTTCATACGGCAACTCTGAGAAAAAAAACTGTATATTTTTATTGAAAAATACCTTTATTTGTCATGTTCACAAAATATTTTAAAAAATATAATTGTATTTTATTCGAAATTTAAAGAGGGAGAACATTTTCAATTTTGTCTTGCCAGACACAGCAGAGGCATTTTGCATTGTTTTGTTTAGTTACAAGTTAATGAGAACAAAGTATTTATTTTAAAAATTAATATCTTACCTCGTAGAAATACCTGAGAACATATCATTATCTACGTGGTATGGATACACTGTTGTCACCTTGACACCTGATACTCCTGTGCTCTTTAGTTCATCTTGCAAGGCTTCTGTAAAAGAAAGAATGAAGTTAAAACATAACTGGTATCATATTGAACTCTATACATTAATTTTTTACAATTTAAATTGAAATGTGAGATGAGATTTCAAAATGATAATTCAAAGGCATTTTTTTTCTCTTCTTAAATTCATTTCACATTACAGGAAACATCTCTGACAATAAAATCTCAATATATTCCTAGCTGAATCTTATTACTGGACTTGGAAACAATATTTTAAAAATAAGTTAATTTTATTTCAGAATTGTAACATGTGTACGTGTAATATATCTATCAATAAACCTGAGAATCCAGATGATGCAAATTTAGAGCTGCAGTAGTCGGATGCACCATTGAGCGCGGTTATTGCAAGCACTGAGCTAATAGTAATTATGTGACCTCTATTCTGTTTAATCATTCCAGGCAGGAATGCTCTTGTGGTCTGTGGAAATATTCAGACATTTAATTATTAAGAGATTTAGTTTAATGATCAGCATGCCATTTTTAACTGTATTTAATATTTTTACCTAAAAATACTTTTTTAATTTAAATCATATATTTCATTTTTTTTTTAAATATTATATTTCATCTCTACTTCTTGTTGCACACCAGAAACTGTAAATGTTAGTCTGTGACATACCTTACTATAACTATAACGATAAAAAATATCCTGATGAGATCATTTAGTGTAATCAGCAAGCTTTCAGAATTTAAAGCTGTATGTGAAATTTTGTCCTTGCTTTGTGATACAATAAACTCTTGTCATTGAAATTAATAGTTGATCTGGTTTTTTTCTATTAATGAGTACCCACCCAGAAATGTGCTAGGACATTAGTTCTAAAAGTTTTTTCAGTTTCTTCGGGATTACTGTTGAGGATTGAATTAGGGTGTACGACACCAGCATTGTTGATTAGCATAGTCACTTGTCCAAACTTTGCCTCAACCTCTTTGCCCTAAAAGAAAAAGTGTTAAATCTTTGATAAAATGAAAAGACCTGCATAAAATCCTCAACATCTGGTGGTTCTACAAAATCCAAAATATAGCAGTGAAGGAAATGACATCACAAATCCAAGTGAATTATGAAATCCGGAAAAGATAGTGGTGGTGGATATGTCATGTCATGTGAAACCCCACACCAACTATAACAAGAGAAGCAATGGTATGGAACCCTCGAGGATCAAGATGACAGGGAAGACCCAAAACACCTAGCAAAAAGAGGCTGACAAGTAATGTAATAAAACTGGAAAGAGTTAGAGAAGAAAGCAAGAGACCGAGAGGCTTGGAAAGAAATTGTTAATGGCCTAAGCTCCACCGAGAGTTCAAAAGGAAGAGAAGAAAAGGAAGAATTAAAAGAATGTAATTTTTAAAAATAGATTAACAATTATGTAATACCTGGAATAATGAGCACAAATTTAAGAATTCTGACACATATAGTGTAGAATACCGGTATTCAAAACAATTAAAATGGTGCAGGGAGGCATCATTATTCAAAGATTTCTTTAAATTTGCAACTGCTACACTGTACAAACTTATGCCACAAAAATTGATAACGGTGAAAAAAACAAAATATATAAATAGAAGTCAGAGGAATCGGTTTATTACCACTTTAGTTTTAATTCTTACCAGTGAATAAATCTGCTCTCTAGAACTAACATCACACACCATGTAAGAGCAGTTTACACCCTGATCTTGGACTTCTTTTGCTGTTTTTGATAATGTTGACTGTGTCCTTCCCCATAGTATAATCTGTAATATATTAGGAATACTGGTATTTCAAAATATGTAAATCTGTTTAAGACAACCTAATAGGTATCTGCCAGCCAATCAAACAATGTGATAAGATAAATTTCTGTATTGATCCGGAGAAATATAAATTTGTGTGACCACCTTTCCACATTATCCTGTTACATTTCTAGCACTTTTTATAAATAAACCCCGATTTATATTAAGTTGCTATAAAACACTATTTAATACTCTGACAATAATTATCAAAGAACACTTAAAAAGTACATTTCCTCACATGTTTCGGATGGAACTTTGCAAAGCACAATGACAGCTTTCTGCCTATACCTCTTCCTCCTCCAGTGATTAAAATTATTTCATCCTCATACAAACATTTTCTCCTCTGAGGTAAAAAACAATGTATGATGTCCTTAAAAATAATGAAAATAATTTCCCCCACAAAAACAGCAACTCTTCCAATATTTTTAAACAATTCCAACATTGTTAAAAGGTTGTATCAATTTTATTCCTCTAAAAATTGATATATAATAGACATCAGTAACCCGGGATATAGGAAGATTGATTCTTTTTAGTGTAATTCTTGATTCAGATCTTCTATTAAAATTAATGTCTGAAAGAAAAAAAAAATTAAATAATTAGTTTGTTATGATAGCTATGAAAATCATAATTTGCATAATAATATTAATAATGCATGAAACTTAATTCTTTAAAACACAACTGAAAGCACACTTATTAATGGCAATCCATATATTATTTAAGCATTTATGAGAAGGGGTTGCGTTCATTTAGGAGTTTTTGCCTAGGGTGCTTATGGCTGAGGAGCGAATTATTTTGTTGGGCTTAACCAAACAGCTGCAGTCATAAATAGGGGAAGGAATTTTCAACTCATTTTACTGCATTTTTTCCCAACCTTTTACGCCCCACTTAAATTTATTTAATGGCCTGTACCCCCAATATTTATTAAGACAAACAGTAACATTGGTTAATTTTTTTATAATTGTCAAGTTAAACTTTGTAGTCCCCCCCCCCCCACACCGCACTAAAAAATTATTTTATATCTCAGAGATATGCCACCCCCATAATTTTAGGGAACACTACTAGACACTAGTTAACATAACAGTGACTTTAATTGGCTTGTATTTATGAAATAATTGTCTAACATCATATCGATTTTTTTATTTTTCTTCTGGTTTGGAGAAGTATGTATGCATACATACTGGTGGGTGTCCAAAATGTACTAGTATTGGTGCAGCATCCCACCCCACCCCACCTTTTTTTTTTTTTTTTTTGGCAGTATGAATTTGGATTTTTTTGCAGGCTATACATTAAGCATCAATTCATTAATGGATGTCCCCTTGACTTAATTATTAAACGTGAGCTTGATGGTGGCTACCCAGAGTAGGACTATAAATTATAAAAATAGTATCGAGTCAACTACTATTGAGTCAAGTTGAGCCCCTCTCTCAAAACTGTCTTTGGTTTGTTTGAGTCCGTTTATTGTATGTGAAACCTTATTAACACTAATTCAGGGGACCTGCAAAGCGTAAGTTGACCGTAGTAATAATAATAATAATAGGTAATAGAACAATGGTCATTGCAAACAAACAAAAAAAAAAGACCAGTGAAAATATGTTTTTAGACTTTAATTTAATTTAGGCAGGATTGCTTAAAAAACAATTTTTTTTTCCTAAATTACAATTGATGTAATTAAAACTAAGATTCTGAAAATTAAATACTAAGATAAATTTTCAAAGAAAATTCAGCACTTCAGAAAGCAATTCGATAAACCGCGTCCGCGTTAAATTCTTAAGAATGAGGCCTATTTATTTATATCGGTTTAGTTTGAAATAATCAACAAACTGATTTGTTTAACAGCTGACTATGTAGGGTCTAAACGCCGTAAACCACCATTTAGGATGTAAAAATTAGAGAGTGAAAATTTTATCACTTCACAGAAAGGTCTAAGAGATACCGTACCTACTCTTCTGTTAAATTGATCGGCGCGGTGGAGAGGGTAAAGCCGCAATCTGGGACGTCAAAAACTCATGGGCAAATACGAAAAGTGTGTGTGTGTGGGGGAGGGGTGTGTTCCTGTCTGAGGGGTTCATTGAGCCATTACCCAGAATATTTTTGATAAATTCAAAATGCAGTAATTCATTTTGGCACATACCTGCATAAATTTAGTTTTGCATCCTCCTGTGCTTACCGGAAATAAACATAAGGTGTCTCTTGACCTAGATGTGTTTATACCAATACTATATTTTAAGTTGTTACTAAATTAATTTTTTTTAAAATTTAAATTAGGCTATTTATTTCGTTTTACTGCTTCATTAGTAAATGTATTTAAATAACTAAATAAATATTAAATATTCCATACAAAAACGTGGCTACAGAAACAGAAAGTACACTAATTACATTCCTTCCTAAATATATCCAAGTAGTTATACCTGATACGATAGAGCAAAAAAAAAATCTCTTTAAAAAAAAAAATCTCTTTTTAAAAAAAGAGAAGAAAATGCTTATATATCCTAATGAAATTATAATTTTATAAAATGCTTATAAATGTTAAAAATTATAGGGCCTACTAATGACTATCTTTTTAAGGCATGATGATATTATGCCATCAACACCTTGCCATATTTAAAAAGTTGTTCTTATATTGTAAAGAAATGTTGGATAGATATCAAGAACTAATTCTAAATATAGGCCTTTAAAGCGATGGAAATTAAGTTTTTAATTACTTATTGTTCCGAGTATAAGCTGGAATCACTCGATATGTCTATTTATTTATTTATTTAGGCATTTTTATATAGCGCTCACCTTAAAGCTCTAAGCGCTTTACAATTATTAAAAACATGTAAACTAAGTAAAATAAAAATGAGACACTAGGATAGTAACTACTATACTATATTATTTAATGTCTATCGTAGGTCAATCGCACTTTTCCCCATAACATAAGTATTAAAACTAAAGGGTTACACCTTCCCCATCCCCGGAGAGATAACCCCCTCCCCCACCAAAAAAAAAAAGTCAAACAACAATCAACAACCAATCCTAAAAGAACATGTGTTGCAAGTTAAAGAGTCACAAGAAAATGTGTAACGACCATAAGTAAATTATCTTCAGAGCCGATTCCCAAAACGAGTGAATCGCTGAATGTTTCTCACTTGTAATGTAAAGAAACATGTTGAAGGACAGAAAAACTGCAAAGATGTTTGCTGTTATTATTGACTCCATGCCAGATTAATCCCACGTTGAACAAACAACATTTCTTCTGAGTTATGTGATATCATATGAAAACCAGCATGATATTGTAGAAATTTTTTTAGTTAGTCGACACAAGCTATAAAACAAGATATGACATAACACAGATGATAGTAGAATCATGAAGAGGAAAAAAAAACACGATATTCCACTGATGGATTGTTGAATAAAGGGATATGACAATGCAGCCAAAATGCCATGACAGTACAAATGTGCACACGTAAGAATAATTGAGGGACGTGAAACAGCTTTCTTTTCATTTAGTGGATGCCACACACTTTGTGTGGAAATGATGCCGCAGAATGCATTCAGTGCACTCCACTCAGGAAGTCATAACATACTTTTGAACTATACAAACTGTTTACAACTTGTTAAGTTCTATTCCACACCAATGGGAAATCTTGCAGAGATGAATTGGCTGCTCTCATCGCTGCATGTCTAACAGGACGGTCAGACGGGATGTCTAACACACGATAGTGAGTCGGGATGTCTAATACACGATAGTGAGACGGCATGTCTAACTCACAATAGTGAGATGGGATGTCTAACACACAATAGTCAGATGGGATGTCTAACGCACGATAATCAGACACTAAGTCTAACACACGATAGTCAGACGAGGTTCTAACACACGATAGTGAGACGGCATGTCTAACACACGATAGTCAGACGGGATGTCTAGCACACGATAGTCAGACGGGATGTCTAGCACACGATAGTCAGACGGGATGTCTAGCACACGATAGTCAGACGGGATGTCTAGCACACGATAGTCAGACGGGATGTCTAGCACATGATAGTCAGACGGGATGTCTAACACACGATAGTCAGACGGGATGTCTAGCACACGATAGTCAGACGGGATGTCTAGCACACGATAGTCAGACGGGATGTCTAGCACACGATAGTCAGACGAATGTCTAACACGCAACAATATTCAGACGAGATGTCTAACACACAATGGTCAGACAGCATGTCTAGCACACGATGGCCAGGCTGTGTTGAAAGTATAAAACCCTTTGTAGCCCACCTGCCAGGCAACACATTGATAATAGAAAACCTCCTATAGTTGAACTTAACTACCAAACAAGAGCAGAGACTAATGGTGCATCCCTTATTTGTGCCGTAATGCCTGTTTTATGTCACAAAGTATTGGTTCCAGTTGATATCTGTAACAAGGTAATTCAGTCCAGAAATGCAACGCTGGATGTGAAAGCGTCCAACTCAAAAGTTTAATGCCAGGACCAAAAATCTTCGAATAACCCAAAAACGTATATTGAGCGAAAATAAGGATGTTGCTTCTAATTTGTGCATATAAATGGAACTCTCTAGATTTCAGGGTGAAGAAAAGCGCTTAAGAAAGGGGTTCCATGATTAAGGTGCTACAGAAGAAGAAGATTTGTCAAAGCACGATGAAATGGTTGAATCCCCAGAGGAACCATATTCTGTCTTCTATGTAATATTGGATAGTTTTATAAGTGGACTCATTGTCTATTTCAGTGAGGCAATGAACATTTCTGAGAATCTCAGCTTCCTATGAAAGTACCAATCAATTCCTCATGACAACTGAGGGGGGGGGGGGGGGCCAATTACCGGCAGATCATTATCCCGCTGATATCCGTGAAGATCGTTTAATGGAGATACGTCGATTGCCATCTGTTCATCAGGCAAATGTTGTAGAGGGTGAGCTGAGTCCATTGGTGCTACTGAGTAGCTTGAAAAGATACACGCTTCAGGGACTCTTTCCACATGTATGTGTCTGTCGCCGTATTCTGTTGACGATTCCTGCCACTATCACTTTTGCAGAGCGCCCATTCAGCAAACTTGAAGCTGTTAAACATGATCCTGTGACGACGGGTAGAGTTGGCAAGACTCAGTATTGAGTCTGATCTTGCAAACACGAACTATTTTGACGATGTGATCGACACTTTTTTCCAGGGGAAGGGGCTACGAAAGCACCTTCGTTTAAAAGAAGACTATGCCTAAATGTCATTACATCACAGCTATAACACTATAATAACTGTGGGATTGTAGTGAGTTGGAAATCAATCTAGTATTACAACAAATGCTTATGTATATCGTTTCATTAATGTGTATTATTGCTGTATTATCTTTTACATTTATTGTTCCTGTACTCTTTTTAATATATCTGCAAATATGTTTGAATATAATTAATAAATTATGACATTAGACCAGTGGTCAGAAAACTCATTAGTCAAAAGCGCCAAAAAATCAGCAACAGGACGATAAAAAAAAATTTTGAGAGCCAAATTTCTTTTTAAGAGCCTGTCAAGAACCATGTATTTCGGAGTCAAAATCGATTTCTGGCCGAGCCGCACTCATGTAGATATTAAGGGGAGCCGCATGCGGTTCGCGAGTTGCGATTGCCGA